TTGTTTCTAAACTCAAGATTCGAACCACTCCACAAATAGCTTGATCAAGACTACTTGAATGATTCTAGCATGCAAATCTAACACTCAAGAATTGCAAAGAAAAACAAGCTCTAGGCTTTTTGAAGCAAAATAGCAACTTCATTCAATCTTCAAAATCTGTCTTTCAAAGGAAACAAGCTAGGYTATTTATAGCCTCCAAAACAACCCTAAAAGTAACCTAAAGGCATTTGAAAGGTTGTAACTCCCAATTACATGATGGCCATAACATCCACTAGCTAAAATGTAACTTAAAACACATAAATGAAATGTTTRAAACTGAAAATAKAATAAAAAGAKGTTTAAATCYGAGMATTKAAGTCTTGGTCACCCTTCAAAGTCTTTGTAACCTCCCAATTATAAATGAAGYTTCACTTGAAGTAGTTTGAAGTGTAGTTCCATTAATTGATGGATAACTTGCAATAAATGAAGCTTGAGATGCACTTAAGTTCATTTAATGCAACTTGAGTTCCTTGAATTGAACTTGGCTTTCTTGAATGCAACTTGAGTTAAACTCCACTTCAACTTCAGCTCGTTTAAATGAACTTAGAGTTCATTTAATGCAACGCCTCCCTTAAGCTCTACTTGGAAGATATTGACTTGAAAAGTTCCATCTCTCTCTTGATCATCCCTAGCCGAGCTCACCAAGTATTGAACATGAGAAAGTAAAGCTTGTTGTAGCTTCTTGGCTCTTGATCTCGTTATGGGTCCTTGAGGCATGACAATGGTGCTTCCTTGGTTCACATCATCCTCCCTCTCTTGAGAAGGATTCGTCCTYGAATCATAGCCATCACCTACATCAAAAGGACTCAAATCAGCAACATTAAAGGTTGCACTAACACCATACTCACCTGGTAAATCAATTTTATAAGCATTGTTGTTGATGCGCTCGAGAACTTGAAATGGACCATCTCCTCTAGGATTGAGCTTAGAATGTCGTTGGACGGGAAATCTCTCCTTTCGAAAGTGCACCCACACCCAATCTCCTGGGTTGAATATAAGATGCCTTCGTCCCTTATTAATTTTGGAAGCAATATTGGCATTTTGCTTCTCAATCCTCTCCTTGACCTCCTTGTGTAGCTTATGAACATATTCAACCTTAGCATTAGCATCAAAATTCACAAATTCAGTAGGTGGCAAAGGTAGCAAATCAAGAGGTGTTATAGGATTAAAGCCATAAATAATTTCAAAAGGAGTGCACTTAGTAGTACTATGGACAGCCCTATTGTAAGCAAATTCAACAAATGGCAAACAATCCTCCCAAGATTTGATATTTTTATCAATAACAGCCCTAAGCATAGTAATCAATGTTCTATTTACTACCTCAGTTTGACCATCCGTTTGAGGGTGACATGTAGTAGAATAGACTAGCTTAGTACCTAACTTTCCCCATAAGACACGCCAAAAATGACTCAAGAATTTTACATGCCGATCACTAACAATGCTGTAAGGAATGCCATGCAATCGAACAATCTCTCTAAAGAACAAATCCGCAATGTTTTTAGCATCATCAGTTTTGTGACATGGAATAAAATGAGCCATTTTACTAAATCTATCAACAACCACAAATATACTATCTCTACCTTTCCTAGTCCTTGGTAAACCTAAGACAAAGTCCATTGATATATCCAACCAAGTAGCAATTGGAACGGGCAAAGGAGAATATCAGCCATGCGGTTTAAGTCTAGATTTAGCTTGCCTACATGAAATGTAATGCTCACAAACTTTATGAACGTCATGTCTCATCCTAGGCCAATAAAAATGTTCAGGAAGCATGTCACATGTTTTTGCTACTCCAAAATGCCCCATTAATCCTCCTCCATGAGCTTCTTTAACAAGCAATTCACGAATAGAGCAATTTGGAATGCACAACTTACCTTTCCTAAAAAGAAATCCATCAAACAAGTTGTACCCATCCAAAACGATACCATTTTGAAGAGAATCAAAAATAGAACCAAAAGAAGGATCATCATGGTACAAGGTTTTAATATGCTCAAATTCAAGTAGTTTAGCCTTCAAAGTGTTAAAAAGAGCATACCTTCGAGACAAAGCATCAACAACCACATTCTCTTTACCTTGTTTATACTTAATGACATAAGGAAATGTCTCAATGAACTCCACCCACTTAGCATGACGACGATTGAGCTTATCTTGA